TTATGGTTTTATTGTAAATTTCTTATTACCAGTCAGATTTGCAACACTAATTTCCCCCAGAAGGGCTCTGTGTGCTCTTGACAGGTAAGGAATGATTAAAGAGCCCTACTGGGTGTCTGGCACCTAGTAGGCCTCAGTGCATATGTAATCTGTAAGTGAATGCATGAGCAATCAGAACCTTTAATACAACATGAATTTATCCTCTCTTCTATTTATAACAACCCAGAGCTTGGTGCTTGGGTGGCAGCATATTTTTCCCCTCACTCTGAATAATAAGGCAAATCCATTTAACTTCTTTGGAATGCCAGGGTGTGTTGGGGGGCTGAGAGACAACACAGACGGAGGTGTGAGGTGTGTCAGTTTAGGGGTGGTGATGACTGTTGTGAGCTGGAAATGGATGCTAGTGCTATCTCCAACCCTGAGGCCATTTCTCCAGCCAGGGACCAGGAATCCAGAGGCCTGTGTGGATGCTGTGTCTCTGCAGATGCTGCTGACAGCACTTTGAAGGGTTGCTTTGGCCAGAGACTCACTCCTTGCCCTGCCTCCTCTCTGACTCATTCTAGCTGCATATTTTGGGTACATGAAGGATCCAGATTAGAGGAAAGGAACACTTCCTTAGAGTAGGAGCTCTTAGGTATTGGATCAGCACTTGAGAAGTTAATGTTCTTTACTGGTTATGGAGCCTTTTAAAAAAAAGTTGAAATGAAATTCACATAACATAAACTTAACCATTTTGAAGTGAACAATTCAGTAGCATTAAGCATGTTCACAATGCAGTGCAACCACCAACTATTTAGTTTCAAGCCATTTCATCACTCTAAAATAAAACCCTTTTTCCTACTCTCCCCAACCACTGGGAACCACCAATCTCTTTTCTACCTCTATGGATTTACCTGTTCTGTACATTTCACATAGGTATCTAATATGTGACATTTTATATCTGGCTTCTTTCAATAACATAGTGTTTTTGAGGTTCGTCCACATTGTGGCATATACTAGTAGATCTTAGGATTTTAACACCTACCCAAAATACCCAAAGACGATTCATTGCCCCCTCCTCCACGCCCCTCCCCCCAAAATGAGTCTTCCAGCCACTGTTGTTTAAGTCCTAGGTCCTGCCAGGAGGAAGGGAGAAGGACGAGATTCATCACTTCCCAAATAAACTGAATTAGAGACATGTGCACTATGTCTTTTGAAAATATTGATTCCTTGGCTCCAGTCAGAGGGAGTCTGAATCAGTAGGTCTGGGCGATTCTGTCATCATTTGGATCAGGTGACCTCTGGAAGGTTATCTTGACTCTTAACCACCAATCTGTGAGCCTAGCAGAGGCCTGAAGCACCTCCCAGCCCCTGGTGGCTGTTTATGGTGCTGTTTCTGTGTACAGAGATTTCTGTGGTGTGTGATTTTTCTCTGTTTGCCTTCTGAGGGGTGGCATTGGGCCCTCTCCCTGCTGCTTTTGTAGCTCCAATTAATTGTGTCTCCTTTATCAAGCTCTAGCTACATCCTGTGAGCTGGAGATGGAGCGAAAGTTGTTCAGGCCTCAGGGTTGTGGTTATAACCGACTACACAATAGGCTTGTGTTCCTGGAAAAGCCACTCTCCCACCCTCTTGCCCCATCCCAGATCAGTGTCTTCTGGGTGCCCAACCTTGTCTCTTGTGGAACCTTAGTGAGCCAGACTGATGAGAGTGATCTTGAAGCCTGCAGCTGCCCCAGAGGGCTGGTCATGGGGAGAATATGGGGAAAGGCTAGGGAGAAGTCCCTGGGGATGGAAAAGGACTCAAACAAACCAGAAACCACCCATAAAGTGTGACGATTTAGTCAAGTTCTGCAGGTGTTCTTGATGGCTGGGGGCTGCCCTCAGCCTCTGGTTTCCTGGCCCCTTTCCTTGGAGAGCCAGCTTTTACTTCTTCCTCGTTCTTCTTTGGAGGAGGGTGAAAGTGGAGAGAGAGGGGAGATAGGAGGAAGATGAGGACAGAGAACAGAATGCATGCTTTTGCGTTAAGCTAATTGCCTGCCTGCATGCCTGCTGGCTCTATCATCCTAGTCCTAGTCCTAGCCCTAGCCCTCGTTATCCTCTGTGTGTGTGGCTTCCTGTGGCTGACTCTGGGCTTTGTGCTCTGGGGGTCGGGCACCTGAGCTGCTTTGAGGATCAGCCATGCTCAGCCAGAGGCAGTGGCTCACCAGGAAGTCACTCCCATGATCAGGATGTGCCCATGCTGACATCTTGCCAAGTAGAGGAGCTGAATGGTGTGTGTGAGCTGCCTGGTGGCCCTCGGACAAACCATTTCTTGCCAGGGATTTTTTTTCTCCCCACTGGGCTGCCCTTTTACAATCTGTTAGGAATAAAAGGGACAGCTAATAAAATAAAAAAGGAATTTTTTAAAAAAGCGTTTCACCAAGCTCACCTTTTAGGCTTCCTTTGTAAAAAGGCCCTCAGATGTTCTGATGCTTGTCCTTTGTGCTGCTTCCGCCCCTTCACCTATTTTAGGATTGGTCGAAGGAGCCTCATAAATCTTGTGTCCTTTAAGTAGAATGACTTCAGCAAGTTGTATTCAGACCTCTTTCCCACTCTGATCACTGATGGCTTTGTAACCAGTTCACAGTGTAATTTGATTGTTACCTGCCAGAGGGACTCTTCTGAGGTTGCCCAAAATAAATACTGGTGGGCTTTTTCATCTCAGACCTCAGTAAACTTGGATGATGATTACTCTAGGTTCCAAATCTTTTATCGTATTGATGTTTGTACAAGTTCTCTGTTTATTCTCCTCTGGTTCTAAGGGTGAGGATGTTTTTGGAAAGAAGACTTTTAGCCTGAGTTCCTAGAGCACCCGTGCTGGTAGGCTTCTGTCCACAAGTGATTCCAGATCCTTTTTAGAGGTGAGGGCTGGAAGGAGAGAAAGGGAAAAATAAAGGCTGAAGTAAGGCGTTTGTTACCGGCGGGTGAAGAGTCCCTTGGCTGCTTTCTCCTGGTAGCATTCTGGGGTTATATAATTGACTTATTTCTATTTTTTATTTACACTTCTTGGTTGATGCGTGCCTAGACTTATCTCTCTGGAAATGAGAAGGAACAGTTTGGAATTGACATATTTTCCTAAAAAATATCAAGGGTCTTTTACTTTAAAAAGGTCTTTTCAAATATTTTCCAAAAGAATTTGAATGTGGATCAAATTAGATGCAGGTGCTTAAGACCCAAAGCAGAGTAGTAAAGGATTAGCTCCTTTGTCATTCTGTCTGCCAAGTTTGTGGCACAGGTGTTTCCCTTCTCCCTGGTGACATCTGAGAGCATCTCAAGAAGTGGGTGGGGAACGTCAGGGGTGGACCAGTGAGAAGGGAAAGTAGGAGAAAGGCCCTCGGGGGAGGGGATGGGAGGGTTTCTGCTGCAGAGCCTTGGTAGGAAGACAGCTCAGAGGGCAGATCAGCTGGGGCTTATCTGTTTGCATCAGTCCAAGTGAGTGTGTGTGGCTGGGGAGGGGCGGGGGGAAGGGTGGCTGGGGAAATGTATTGGCCGGACTTCGCAGAGGCTGCTCAGAGCCTAGAAGCCAGACTTCCTTCTACAGGTGTCTGAAACAGCGAGGTTGAAGAGGCCAGCAGAATAGGCTTCCCCCAGACATTTTCTTAGCAAGAGCGAGATCACGTGCTCCTAGTTTTCAGGGCCTTGCTAACATCAGCTCTCAGAATGTTTGTTAGTGTGGTCCTTGGTTTGCTCTTCACACAGAGGGATGCAATGTATGGCTCAGGTATTCTAAAATGCCAGCCTTTGAACTGTCATCAATGTAAAATAGGAAAAACAAAAGTAATGTAATTTTTCATAAAACAAGGACTATCTAAAAGAACTGTTCTTTATTCTGAGATTGTATCTTTCCTCAGGTTTTGGTATTAAAATGTTTTTACTTTAAACGATGATGGTGATTATAGATGGTGGTCATATCGCTCAGGAGGGTTAGATACATAACAGGTGAATCCCAGAAGTTCAGTGGTATAAATACATTTCCCAAATATGAGAATTTCAAAGTGGGTGGTACTGATTAGCAGAGGGCCCTCTCCTTGGGGACATGGGTTCCCTCTGTCCTGTGGTTCTGCTCTCCTCTGGGTCTCCAGGATCTTGAATGCAGCCTGCGGAAAGAAAACAGAAGGCTGTATGGGGACTGGGGCTAGTGGCATGGACACCTTCTCTCACATTCCACTGGCTGGAACTCAGCCCTGGGGCCACACCTCCCTGCAAGGCCACCTGGGCTGCAGAATCTGTGTTCTCAGGAAGCAGAGGAAACGGATTCAGAGAGCAGTTGAGTCAAGCTCTGACACAGTGGCTTGTTTTGTTTCTGTCCTTACCTGGCAAAATAGAAGTGGCCAACCAATCTTGTTAGCTTTACTAACTTATTTTCATTTTACTGGTTTATAAAATTCAGAAGCCTGGGAACTACTGCTAGCTATAATCCAAAGGTCATTTCTGTGGAGTCTTGGGAAATACTTCCTTACTTGAGACACTTCAAAACTAACTAAATAAAACTGCACTGTGATGTTTTCCCCTTCTTCCTTGTTATGAGCTAAGGATGAGCAATGTCACCTATAGGCCAGAGACAGCACTAGTTTGAACTGCGGTTTGAAAGTATGTGTACTTTCCTGTGTACTTTTTGAATAAGGTAGATGTTTTGGTTTCAGCCTTTGGAGTGCATGTCCCATGTATGGAGTAAGGATGAGAGTAACCAGAGATTGGTTTCATAAAGGACAAAAACAAGCAAAGTAATCGGTTATGCCAATGGGAGCCTGAGAGGATTTTCTTTGCAATTTCGTTATGTTTCAAATATATAAGGGCAGAGGACCAGTGTTTCTTCTTGGGGAAGTTGAATGTGGGGGAAAAATAGGCCACCTGGGTGCTCCAGATCTAAGAATCTTAGTCATTTCTGAATGACGAAGGTAGAGAGAGAGTCCTGCTTTGGAATATTTATGACCATCATTCTCCATGAGTCTTAATTCTTGCATTGGTTTTCTTCCTTTCAGGTTAGTCTGAATGATTCCCACAATCAGATGGTGGTACACTGGGCGGGAGAGAAAAGCAACGTGATCGTGGCTTTAGCCCGAGACAGCCTGGCATTGGCAAGGCCCAAGAGCAGTGATGTAAGTATTGGTGTTTCCACTTGCACTCCTGTGTGCTGCCAATATGTCCTTTTGTGATATTCTGGGGTTATCATTCCGGAAGAAATAGTGGGTAAATGGGGAATGGGTGGGATTAATTATATGACACAGAAGTGAATCTAGAAAATAATAAATATCTTTTGTTTACTGAATACAGCGTTGCGCAGTCAATTGTAAATCAATTCATGTGATGTGCGATTACTTTTATGAAGTGATAGGATTTGATCTGGATAGTCATATCTGCTCAACAAAATGCCAGAAGTACATTCTTAGGCAGAGCTGCGTGTCTGTAGCAGAGCCCTGTGGACTCTCACTGGTCTTTCCCTGTGCTGATTTCTTCTAACCTCTTACGTTGGGTGAGTTGTTGAACTGGATTCACTCATATTCTTAATTTTACAGTCGTCTTATACATGAGGTATTTTAATAGGTTGGGTGCTTCAAAGACATAAAGCCAAAGGTCACAAATTCAAAGACCTATGAGAAGCCAGGTGGTAACGGGCAAGAATGAAACTGTCTCCAAGTTTACAACATTCTTTACCTATACAAAGGATAATGGTCTCTCCCATTTTTCTTGAAGTAAATAGCCCTCTGGGACAATATGTAATTTTCTCACTTTTGAAAGAGATACAAGTTCAAGAAACGTTCACTTGTATTTTAATTTGAACATGCTGATTGATACTTGGTCTCAGTGTCTGAGAGATACTAAGAAGAGGAAAGGACTTTGGTGAACTAGAGAATAAATGCTTCCGAGGGGGCCATTGTTCATTGAGTCTCAGCTCTGGATACCATGCAAGAAGCAGGGTCCAGTGTGGCCAGATCTGATTTTTTGAGAGAAACTCAGAGATCTGGACTTTTTATGTGAAAACTGCTGAGTCTTACAAGTTGGCAGCTAATGTGTAGTTTTACAAACATTGTGTAAGCCAAGTCACGCATATATGAGGAGGGAGAGCTGACCTTTCAGTCCTAAGTCTCCGGCCTTTGATCCAGACTTCCTGTTGTGGGGAAGAATAGCCCCGGCTTTGGGTTAAGGTCTGACATGGTGACAGGGTGACACTGTGGACAGAAAACGTGCTATGGAGCTTTGGCTACTCTGTGCTCTGGCTAGAGGAAATCTCTGAATTTTCTAGCACTGTCACATCCGCCTAAGAGCACAATTGTAATTCTTGAGTGTAGGTTTGTTTTCTGTGAGGGCCGGCTCTGTATCCACTATGAGTTGGATATGCTCTAGGGTAGGTGACTGGAGAGAGCACCAAGGATATTTTCTGTGAGCTGAATCAGGGAGCCACAGACAGGGAGGGCAGAAAAAGGGCTGGCTATAATGATGCATAGCTTTGCCTAGGGTGGGTGCTGAGCAGTGACAAGTGGGAAACCACTTACTGTACCTGACAGCCCATTTGAGTGTAGTGATCTGGAACAGAGCTAGGCTTCTGTGGGGTAATGGCTTTGGCCAATTTATAAATCAGTGTTTGCAAGCACAGACAGCAGCATATGGATGCCTGTTGGCCCTGTGAGAGTCTGTAGGCACCTGTGTATATATTCAGCATTGTCACTGCCTATAGGCATCTGTTTTGAGCATAGGAGATGGCTCTATGCCTTACTGTGTTGAAAAAAATCCTCCTTAGAGTTTTTATGCATTTAAAAAAAAATTATTTGTTCAGAAAATATTTTCTTTATGCAATAAATAAAGCCCTTAACCATTGTTTTTTGGTTTTGCTGGACAAAAAGGACACTAGAGACATTAGGTGATGTGCATGAGGTTCCTCAGCATTCCTGTGGGAGAGCTGTAACTAATGAGAATTAAGACCCAATCACATACTTGGCGTGTGAGGATGTAGTGTTGCTAGGTGACCAAGCCTGGGTTTCAGCACTGTAAGTCCCACATCCTGGGAGTGTCCTCAGTTCTGGATCAACCAGGATTGTTGGTCACTGTGGTGTTGCCAGTCTACCCAAACCTAATTTCCCTTTGTCCAACTATTTGGGCATAGCTACTAAGGACCCATTAAACATTTGAAATGATACATTATCCTGGAATGAAATATATGATAAGATTAAAGGGAAAGGAAACAATGCTTGGAGGTAATAAATAAGGATGACAGATTTCCCCCTTATATACAAGCTACATTAAAGAATTGGCAGATGAAACTAAAATGTTCTGATGTGAAAAACTAATGCAAAAATAAATTATGACTCAGAAGTAGGAGTTGGTGGTGCCAGAGTAGTAACATTCTAAATTTTCTTTAAAGAAGACTGGATTGTAAGGCCCTGTCAGTAGTCCAGTAGGGAAA